TTAGTCATTTTTCCTTCAGCCTGTTGGAGTGTTTTTCCCCCCTACAGCCTTAAATGACAGTGTTAGTAAGGTAGTTAGCTCTGTTTAGGCACCGGGATCAGTTTTCTACAAGCTCTTCAACTCTTTCAGCTCGGGAATTTTGGTTAGACATGTCAAATTTGACTTTTAATAGCGAATATCTTTACAATTTACCCGCGGCTGCTGTTCATGAATTCACCCGTGTTATGGATTCACTCCCGGATTCAGACTGGCTGAGATTTGGTAAGATTTTTTTTGTTTTGTTTTAATTATTATTATTTATTTGGTTGTCTCAAATGGTTTACTTTCATATCCACATGATAGTCTAACTTTTATAATACTATCCCCCAAAAGAAAACATTGTGTAGTTGTTTAGTCACGTTAGTCAGGCGACTTCCTCAACTTGAGTGAAAGTTATCCATTTAACACACAGCTTGGTCGCTAGCTAGCATTATTAGCTGAGGTGTGTTTAGCATTTTAAAACCTTTCATTCTCTTTAATTCTGAGTCATTCTTGTTGTTAAATATAAACTATAATTTCCTTAGAGAACGAGTGAACATGTGAGTTAATAATTCGTGTCGAAAACGTCGTTAGCTAGATGTGCTAGCTAAATAAATATTTACCTGTTTTACTCAATGCTGTCAGCTCAGGGAAACGATTAGCTGACACGGTTAGCTATATTAGCTGTGAGAGCCAGCTACATTAACAAATTTGGAGAAAATTCGAGAAAAATTTCCTAGCTACGTTTAACAACTAGAAAAAAACACCATTAAGGATGTAGGTTCACTTCACTGAGTGAGTGACAGCATCCCAAATGACTCCATGCTGCCTATATAAGTGCACTAGACAGCCAGAGATGACCAGCTTTATCCCTGGTTTCTGAGAGGAAAATTTACCTACACTGAGTTCAGTGTTCAGTTAATGGTGCTGATAATCCCTTACATAACATTACTGGCCACTTTAATAGGAACCCCTGTACCCCTGCTCACTCATGCACTTGTGCAGCATAAAATGATGCATAAAATCACACAGATACGGGTGAAGCGCTTCAGATAAAGTTCACATCAAACATCAAATCAGAACATGGGGAAAAATGATCTCTGTGATTTTGATCATGGCATGGTGGTTGGTGTCAGATGTGTTGGTTTCAGTATTTCAGAAACTGCTGATCTGCTGTGATTTTCACACAAAGTGGTCTAGAGTACATGGAAAGGTGTGGGAGAAAAAAAAACATCCAGTGAGCGGGCGTCAGTTCTTTCAACGGAAACGCCTTGTTGATGAGAGAGTTCAGAGGAAAGTGGCTAGATGTGTTCAAGCAAATAGGATGTGTGCAGTAACTCACATAACCACTCTTTACAACCGTGGTGAGCAGAAAAGCGCCTCAAAACGCACAACATGCCAAACCTTGAGGTGGATGGGCTACAACAGCAGGGGAGCGCACATCGTGTTCCACTCCATTCAGCCAAGAACCGAAATCTGAGGCTGCAGTGTTTTTTTGTTTTTTTTTTCCCAACCTTCAACTGTCTGGTTTTTGTGAGCCTGTGACCACTGTAGCCTCGGATTCCTGTTTTAGGCTGACAGGAGTGAAACCTGATGTTGTCCTCTGCTGTTGTAGCACATCTGCACATGTGGGGGAAATTTTGAGATGCTTTTCTGCTCACCACGGTTGTAAAGAGTGGTTATTTGTATGTACACTGTTCCTGTTCTAAGGAGTTCAATCATTTATCTAAAGCCACTGGAAATGCCGCTTCTCTGACCCATCATCTATAATTTATTGTTCTGCCTTTTAAACTTGGCCAGTAGTTGGTCTTGTTTTAAATTCAGCAGAAACAAAAGTGAGAAAAGAGTGAGCACTTCATGAAATGTCTTTTCACCCAAGAAAAAGCCGAAACCTCTTATAACCCACAGGATATAACGGTATCTTTATCGACTTGTGAATCCGGACGGGATATATTTTACCTGGAAGTGTAGAAGGTAAAATATGGTGCATGCACAACCCTTTAAAAAATTATAGACTTGATGGATTTGGATGGGACTAAAATCCCAGAGATACTCTGGTAATAATCACATTACCCTACCTCCCTGCGTAAAACTAATCCAGTACGAATATGGCTTATGTGCCTAAATAAGTAGTTAAATACCAGTCATAACATACTTTCAGTTTTATTTAAGGCTTTATTTATTAAATAGTCTCAGTCTTCAAGGAAATTGTTAGGAGTCAATGAGCTCAGGAAGCCAGCTTTTTAGACAAGCGCTAAAAGAGAAAATATCGACATTTTAAGTGGTAAGTGTTTGGTGAGTGTTTGCCAAATTCATTCATTCATCATCAGTAAGTGCTTTATCCTGGTCAGGGTCACTGTGGATCCGGAGTCTGTCCTGGGAACACTGGGCATGTGGTGGAAATACACCCTGGATGAAAACCAGTTCATCAAATAGCATCACGAACACACATCGTATCTTTGTTCGTGGGTGACACGATGGCGCACCGGGTAGCCATGTCGCCTCAGAGCTCCAGGGTCCCGGGTTCTTCCCTGAGCTCGGCTTACTGTCTTTGTTGAGTTTCTTATGTTCTCCCTGTGTCTGTGTGGATTTCCTTCAGGTTCTCCGGTTTCCTTCCACCTCCCAAAAACATTCCAGTAGGTGGACTGGCAATGCTAAAGTGCCCTTAGTGCCCTTAGTGTGTGAATGTGTGTGTATGGTTTCCGGGGTGTTTTCCCTCCTCATGCCCAGTGTTCCTAGGATAGGCTCTGGATCCATCACATCACTGACCAGAATAAAACACTTACTGAAGATGAATGAATAAATACTACTTTGTTTAGATGTTACAGTTCCTTATCTATATGTATAATATATGTATATTATAATAATCTGTTTAATATGCTAATTTCTCTGCACATCATTATTCGGTCAGACTGGGACTTTAAAGGATTCAACCAATATTTTTAATTAAGTTTGACATTCATTTGAAACGAAATCTCCTGACAAGTTGCCTCATATTTGCCTCATAGTGCCAGTTTTCAGTAACATAGAGACAGTACCATCTGTGAAACTGAGACATTGACTCAACAGTGACTTGAAGACAGATTGTGGTATCTACTTAAGTGTGTAAAATATATATATATATATATAAAAACACACACACAGTATTGACAGTGTTAAAAAAAAATCTATTTCTCTGGAGTTAGACTATGAGGAGTTTAAAAAAAAAAAAAAAGGAAAAGTCATGAGTAGGTCAGCACTCTTCCCTGAAGGAATGATTCATTATGATATTTTAGCAACATTTCCTGAGTCAAGAAAGTGAATCTTATTGTTTTTAACAATCCAGCTTCCCGAGTAATATGTGACCAGACAGAGCTTCGCCTTGTGGAGAAGAGCAGCAGACGGACGGAAACACTAATGCACAAGTGGGGGTGCAGGAACGGGACAGTCGGGGATCTCATAACCATCCTGCAAGATTTGGAGCTATTGAGACCTCGAGATATCATTCTAAAATGTGAGTAGGGTGGCACAGTGGTGTAGCGGGTAGCGGTGCTGCCTCACAGCTCCATTTGATTCTGATGTTGGAATGATGTCTGTTTGAAGTTCCACATGTTCTCCATATGTCCGTGTGGGTTTTCTCTGGGTTCTCTGGTTTCTCTGGTTTCCTTCCACCATGTACTGCTGTGACTAAACAGTTTCCTTTAGGGATCATTAAAGAACTATCTATCTATCTATCTATCTATCTACCTATCTATCTAAGTGGTCCTAAGTGTGTGTGTATCCAGGGTGTATTCCCACTTAGTGCCGAGTGTTCCCAGGATAGGCTCCAGATCCACCTCAAACCCTAACCAAGGATAAAGTGCATACTGGATAGGAATTTATTTATTTATTTGTTTATTTATTTATTTATTTTCACTTTTTACAGCCTCAGAACCACAGCTAATGAAACACTGTTGACCAAAATGTCCTGTTTCTCTGGAAACTTTCACTACGTCCCTATATATAATTCATATATTGCATCCAGAAGAAATGAGTCATTAATAAATATTTGCTGGCAGGTACCTCAGACTCGAACTCTTTGCACCAGCTTTGCAGTTTTAGACTGGTCTCGGACTACGTTAGCCATCAGAGGAATTTAAAAAAAAAAAAAAAAAGAAAAAAAAAAAAGGAAATTTATTTGGAAATGAATATACTTGTAGATTGAACAGGTGTTTCGAAAAGACTTTGACACTTTGTCTTTTGCTCTTGCTAGCTCATTATTCTTTTCAACTCCCATCATTTCAGCTGTCCTTGAAGTTAACACTTCCTTGTCTGATTTTATTCAATTGTCTGATTTTATTCTGTTGCTTTTATTATGTCTAATATGATCTAAGATGATCATCGCTAGGAATGTTTTTGGTTGATTGGTGCAGCTGCCATCGCTAGTTTGAGTCCTGACGAGCTGTAGTCGTACCTGGTTGGGAGTCTGAGAGCGTAACTGGCTCTACGCTCTGACTGGGAAAGATGGCTGCCCTCTCTCCATTGATTAGTGCAATAACTGCCATTCACAGACATATGTATGGGCACGTAAACAGAATAGGGCAAATCACTGATGTCGGAGCTGTGCATTATGATTGGTTAGAAGGATTTAATTTAATTTTGTTACTTTACCAGATTATAAATAATTTGCATAAAATTGAAAAATAAAAAAAAATCTTGCTTTCTAGCAGTTTTCTGATACATTTCTATCTCTCTCTCTCTCTCTCTGTAAAGGGCGGCGTATTCCACAGCTGAGCTCTGTCTCAACCTCCTCCAGCTCCCTGCTATCACCGAGCCTCACCCGCCACAGCTCACCCCCCTCATCGATCTTTACCCCCTCTAAAGATGTCACCCGGGCCCTCCCCATTCTAGGTAACCCCTTACTCATCTGCTTCATATGTCATGCACAAAGCGCTGGGCATTTTGTTGATGCAACATTGATCTCGTGATAAATTATGTCGCAATACACTTTTCTGTTATATGGGTCCCTGGAGGAGTAGTGGTTAGGCCACAGCACTCTGACCACTGCAGCCCGGGTTCGATTCCCAGCCAGGGAACCGTGCAACAGTGCGCTCTCATTGCCGGTCCCAAGCCCGGATAAAACTGGGGAGGGTTGCATCAGGAAGGGCATTCAGCTTAAAAACTGTGCCAAATCAAATACGCTGACCAGTGATCTGCTGTGGCGACCCCTAATGGGAGCAGCTGAAAGAGGAACAACAACATCACTTTTCTGTTATATCATCTAATTAGAACATATTCTTTTATATAACAGTTTCAAACTCATCACAGACAGCTGGTTCACTTTTAACATTTTGGACTGAATTTTTAAAAATTGTAATATGTTTTTCAAAAATTTTATTACAGACTTTTTTTTTAAAAACTTTTTCAGTGTTAATTATTTTTTTGGAGACGTTAAATACAACTATCTTTGAACGAACTATTTAAGTTTTTTTAAATGGCTGCCAAACCTGTCGTATATATCATACATAGAGTATTGTGATTTTTTTTCATATCACCCATCCCTACATGCACATTAGTAAGTAGGGTTTTTTTAGAGGTGATACACATATTGTAAAAAAAAAATATATATATATATGTATATATGTATATATGTATTTTTTTACAATGTGTGTATCACCTCTGAAAACCCCTACTGGTGTATTCTAGTTTAGTCTTTGTCCCATTTTAGCTTCTATTGCTTTCTATGTATTCTATTGTGCAAGGAAATATTAGACTTCATTGCAGTTAAAGTCATTATGTAACTATATTTTGGCTATTTGGCTTATTTTTGGTTAAAAAGGCAAGCTAACGGGTGCTGTTTTTTCTTTGCTTTATTATTCATAGCAAAAAAAACCAACACGTTTGAGTCCAAAAAACACAATGCAAGCACTGTTCTTCGCTTGTGCATAAACAGTAGTTACAGGGTGTTCAGTCCGGATATAACAATAGCTACATTTCCTATGACCACAATTTACAACATGAATAATTTCCTCCATTATAATGCCACCTGTTTGTTTGGTGCTCGAGAGATTTTTTTTTTAATAGTCCACTACAGTATTCTGGTTTTGTTTGTGTCCTTAGAGAGCAAGAAGCTGCTACCCAAACCTGGACCTCCACCCCCGGATCGGAACAGAACATGTCCCTGTCCACCATCAACAGTTTTAAAAGAAGGAGAGAAAGAAGAGGTAAATATATTCAGTTTGCCCTAACACTAGGCATGTGCCACTAATCAATCATAATATGACACGTTATGATATTTAGTATGCTCGCTATTGTTATTGCGAAGGCTCCAACATCATCACACCCTCGTGTCCTATTTAGACAGCAGCGCAAATGCAGCTGCTTCTTAATGGCTTTTATTTTGAACACACATGTTTTTGGAGAAGACAATCCCATAATTCTCTTATCCGTTAAAAACTTGCCACAGAATGATGATTTAGGAATAATTTAATAATTAAGTTAATTTAATATACAATATTGTAATAAAAGTGTTTCACAGTTGTCCTGGTTATTAAAAAAAAAAAAAAAAGTGGCGCAACAGAAAAGCGCTCACCCTATCGTCCGGAGACTGTGAGTTTGTGTCTCGACGATGCCACATCCCTGGCTGAGAGTCCACGAGAGCAGAATTGGCCGTGCTCTCTGGGTGGCATTACTCTCTCTCCCCCTGCCAATCACAGCGACGCCAATCATGGGCGTCTGTGAGTTCATGCATGCGGAAGAGGGTGGATAGTGCTTTCCTCCGAGTGTGTTTCGCCGCCCCCGATGTAGCATGAGTAGCAGTTTGAAAAGATGCAGCTGACTGGATTCACATGACTAGCCACTTGTGATAGCCTTCACCCTCCCTGATTGCTAGCTGTCATATGATAAGGGCATTGCCCAACAAAATCACCCACGGAGTTTGAATTTAGTTCTTGCTGTATTCAACTTTAATTATCTGGTGTTACTTTGTTCTCCTTTGTTATATAATTTAGCAATTTATTATAATTCTATTTACAGCATTCTTGCGATAGCTGTACAGCTCAGTCACCTCTGTTCACGGGCGTCATGTGCTGGCCATTTGAAGAAGTGCAGCGAGGTACGGACAATTTCTCCGCAGCCAGGCAGATCGGAGAGGGAGGCTTCGGCCACGTGTACCGCGCCTCTATGAGGAACACTGACTTTGCAGTGAAGAGGCTCAAAGAGGCAAGTGGATGGAGAAATGAATGAATACATAAATAAGAAATAAAACTTGGAGGTGTGCTGTTATAGGAAAATAATCAACCACAAGATGTTATGATGCAGCTCAACATGAAACAGCGTTATTGTTACCACTACAAAGTTGCTTATTTTTCTGTAACAACATGTGGAAATGTTTTCTTCCTTTTATGCCACAGCAGTGTTTGCCAAAGCTACAATTACTTTTTATCCATTTATAGTTACATTCAGTTGTGGAACATTCTTGAAAGAAGTTAGCTCATTTTTTTCCCCCTGAAGTTAATAAGACAAAAAAAAAAAAAGCAGCTTTTCACGTTACTGAGAACGCACAAAGTCCTGAAGACTTTTCTGTGTCAGAGAACTTAGTTACAGCTTTATCTCTAAGTGTTACAAAGCTCTGACGCTGGAGACTCCTTCCATAAAGAGACGTCTCCTCACAGAGACCTTTTTTTTAAAATCCATTTGTAGTACAAGTCCCTGTTTACAATAAGCCATTGCTCTAGAAGTGTAGTATTAGAATGTATTAGAAGCCATAAGTACTGTCAGTGCTGCTGTTATAGAAAATTAATCAACACCTTCTGACCAATCAGAATCAAGAATTCAACAACAGCTCTCTTTTGTGGGCTTCGTATCATTTTTGTGGGCTTTTTGTTTTTAGCTGTGTGTTGTCTGGACGGTGCCACGTGTCTTGTCCATTAATGAGAAGCTCTTAATGTCTTAAGCAGGATTCCCATATGGGTTGGAGTGTGGTGAAGGAAAGTTTTAGGACTGAGGTGGAAAGACTCTCACAGTAAGAAGCCTTCTCTTTCCATGCTTGCTTTGGCAGCTGCTTCATTCATCTGGCACTTTCTTTTCTCATCCTTTCACACTCTTTTAGGTGGCACTGGCCATGGATTTAAAGAAAAAAAAAGACTTTATATGTATACGTTATATTACAAACACACACTGAGAGAAGGACTTTCCCATCTGAAATTTTCATTGCCCACTGTACAGGCCACATGAGGGCCAGACCCAGAAAAAAACAAAAGTCTTCTACCTCTCCATCTCCCCTTGTTGTGGTCAGTTACCTTATATTTGACTCTCAGTTTGGGTCGTTGGGGCTTTCACACTTTGCAACCTTTTTTCTTGCTTTGCACTTTCAGTCTATTTGGTTACTGCCTGTCTCTCAACATGAAAGCTTCACCAAGGCCTGTTTTATTTCCTAGATATCGACACCCAAACATAATGGACTTGGTTGGTTACAGTGTAGGAGGTGGAACATACTGTCTTATTTACGTGTACATGCCCAGCGGTTCTCTGGAGGACCGGCTACGCTGTGAGGTAAACCACTGTCTTGAGTGAAAATTGCCTTTCCTGCTAATATGCACTTATTTACAAATTAGATTTGATTGTGGTTAAAGAAATAGTTCTAGCTTTAACCAAAATGTAGCTGATCAATCAACGTGGACAAATCAATAGCCCGGCCTCATGAGACAAGAAGATTACATGTCCGGGCTTATTCAGAAAAAAAAACTTGCTCACTTTTGACTTTGACAAAACAAAAGTTTTCACTTCACGGTGGTGCGACACTCATCGGTGCTCTAACTCTAACACATGCTACTCGTTCTGAATCCCACCACTTGCTGCACCACACACATATCGGCATATACTACTCAGATTCATTAGCTTGAATGGCTAATTACGACGTTTTCAGAATCAGGAATATGGAGTTATGTGGAAACACTGAAACGACTGAGCAAAATAAACTGCAGAGTAAAACTGTTACATAACTCTCCTCCTACCACAGCATGCGCTCACCTCACGGATAAATATATCGGGAAAAAAAAACATATGAATTGAATATTTTTTACGTGCTAAGTGAAGAGAACTGCAACACTGCAACTCATTGCCAAACACTGATTAGCAATTTTTGTTGAGGACACAAACACAGTGTGCTCCCAGAATGTGACGTTTTCTTAGAAAGGGATAATGACTGAGTCGTTCTCTACACAGGAATGTATATACTCATGTGTGTCTGTATTAATGCACTTAACTAGCTAACTAGCTCACCGTACTTTATTACATTACATTAGCTACCACTTAGCTACCACGCCTAGTGAGTTTCTGGGCAACTAAAACATCGGACCGGGCAGCATGCTTTCTCAGAGGGGATAGCTTCCGAGGATTTATTCAGTACCGAAACATGTTTGGTGTTTGACTTTTGTTTCTGTAGTTTTGCACTGGAACTTCCATGCTAATGAAATGAATGGAAGTTTTTGTCTGTAGATCTCTGCCTTAAGCCAGATCAAGTTCTTCACCTGATGTCACGCAGGCTTACTCACACTGGAGCTTCCAAAGCTGAAAGTTCAGCTATTTAGAAAATTGCAGAGTGACATCAAGGACTTTTTTTTTAACCTCCCAACCAATCAGGTTGTGGGGCAAACGAGGAAAAACAAGCATGGCTGAGGAAATTTAGCCTAATTAATGTGTGAATAGGAGGAAATTCACAAAAGATTGCATCAGAAATATTTCTTTACCAATGTTCCAATGTTGCAATGTAACTAAAAATAACAGCTTGGTTATTTTTGGGAAGTTCACTGGTAGGCGATGTGATGTCTCACTTTGACTGTGGCTGCATACAGTCACGTCACACAAGAAGCTCAAATTCTCTTGATTTTCTGCCTCCAAAGCTACAGCGAAAGCAAACCACCTCCTCATCACCAATCTTTATTTCATCTCTATTATTGATAATAACAAAATCGACACTAGAGACCAAGTTAGGCTAGATAGTAGGCTTAAAAAAAAAAAAAAAAGTGTGAAAGCAGCCTTATTGTAATCACTAAGATTGTAACACTGTGGGTCAGTCTTCTGTATCTCCTGTGAA